CCAGAGGCATGAAGGGTACCAGCAAATCCAGGGAAATTTCAGAGTTCCCAGTGTGCCAAAGTAAGTCCTGACTTGTCAGAACACCTCCCTCCGTAGGGTTTAACAAAGGGGTGGTGACTTTCTGTGTCAGTCAGCTCCACAAGTATTTAGAGCGTCAGTCTTCCTGCTTACCTATCTCCTTGGGTTGAGAGGTTGATTTCTACCTCCGATTCCTCCCAGTCAAGGTATGAAGGTTCATTTGGGCACAAATGGTGTTTTTGTGGCCTCTACTTGTGTGACGCCTCTTCCTGAATGGCCCAGTCCCACATCGGTGGTCTTCACTCTCAAAAGCCATGAGGGAGCTCCTAGCTGCCTGGAATCAGAGTGCTGCACCTATCAGCAAGCATTTCCTAATTGAACCATTCACCAAGGCCTCAACTTTGGAAATCATTCTGAGTATCTTGGTGACATCGGGGTCACTGAGGATTTCCAGGCAGGGACAGACACATTGAGAACAGGAGACTTCAAGGCAGCCAGTGCACTGTGCATAGACCTCCCCAAGAAGCATGCTTGGCTCACCTTTCCAGAAAGAGTCTGGTTAGCCAAAGAGCAAGCCATCTCGTGTCTCGGCCAGTGTTTCCGAGTTGGGGGTCCAGGAGTGCAAGGAGAGAGGGAGATCAAGAAGGCCAGTGGCTTCATATGTCAGCCTGGCAACAGACCAGCCGGGGCCCTGCCCATGTCATGGACTCTCTGAGTCACGAGACAAAGACTGTAATGGAAACCAGAGAGGTTGCTCAGAGGTGTTTGGCACACGTCTCTTCAGATATTAGGAAGCCAGAAGGGAGGAGAGTCACATTTGGATTTAGAGGCAAACGGGTCCTCCCTCCTTCCCTTTCTGTCCCTTTGACAGCATCATAACTCAGGAATTTCTCAGCCCTGCCCAGGATCATCACAGTTGCCTCTTGGGGCCTTCCAAGTCCAGCACTCTGCACATGGGGCGCAGCCCTTGGAAGCCCCACCCACTTCCGGCTGGGCCCTGCGCAGGCCCCAGGCTTCACCCCATTCCATTGTTGACCAGTTTTCCAGTTTGGGGCGCAGCACATGATGGACTGTCCAGTCTGGCAGGTCTGGGCACAGCTCCCACCTCCTCCACTTTTGGCTGCACGGCCTTTAAATTCTTTCATCTCTCATCCCTCAGTTTCCTCATCTGTGAAATGGGTGTGCTGGTCCCTGCATTGTTGTTGCGTAAGCGTGACAATGACATCTTACAGGATCATGACTACATGGTGCCTGGCACATGATGGATCAGGAATGGTGGCACTTGTGCCCCTGAACTTGCATCTCACCCAGAATACCCTCTGCCAACCTGGCTAGGCTCTGCCTGTTAGGACACCCTGCCTTGCCTTTGAGGTCCAGTGTGGATAGCACTGGTCTGTGCGGCCCACCCAGACAGGAGCACATCCCTCTGCCATGTTGGTATGTTTACATCTCCTTGCAGCTCTTGTCACATCACGTTTTTCTCTGATGTTCTTGTCTCCCTCACCAGAGGGATGCCCCTCGAGGCTGTCTCACCTCTGGGCCACTGTCTCCGTGCCTATTGCTCTGGCTGATGAAAGGGATGCTCCATAGCCTGGCGTGGAAAGTGTCACCCTCATGCATTCATAGACAGGCAGGGAGAAGTCAGGCAGAGGCAAGAGGGGAAGCCTGCCCCCAGGAGACCCCAGTGTTACCCAGTCATAGAGTACTGCACATGGCCGCCCAGAGCATGATGTCTGGACGAGGTGTGAGGACACTGAGCAAGGAACGTGGAGCCCCCATTTTGGACAGCAAAGCCAAGCCCCAAGCAACCCTGTTTATCTCCCCTTCTCCCCACTACTCCATGCCAGCTCCCTCCTCCTCCTCTTTTTTTTTTTTTTTGGTTAATTCTCACCTGAGGATATTTTTCCTTTTTTTTTTTTTAAATAGAGTAGAAAGGAGGGATGTGGGGGAGAGAGAGAAACTCGATGTGAGAGACACATCGATTGGCTACCTCCTGCATGACCCTGAACCTGCAACCCAGGTATGTGCCCTTGACTGGACTTGAACCTATGATCTTTTGGTCAGCGGACCAATGCTCAAACTACTGAGCTAAAGCAGCCAGGGCTGCTCCTCCTCTCTTTTTTTTTTCCTTAAAACTCCTAATTCATTAAAGTGAATTTTCTGCCTTGGTCACAGAGCCTGCACATCAGCCAGTTTATTTCCCGTGTGGTATCAATCAGGGTTTTCTGCTGAGATGACTCGATTATGAGGCCTGTGGATGGTGCCACAGTCCACTTGGCAGGATTCAAATTGCGCCTTCAGCTGCTACCAAGTGGCCACCACAGATGTGCCTGTGCAGTGAGGGGCATCATCCAGCACCCCTGGGTAAAGGCTCCTGCTTCACTCTTCCAGTGGCTGCCCTGACGGGTCTGGGAATACAGCATCTTCTCAGTTCCTTTTGTGGACTGTTCTGTTGCACATTCTCTTTCTCTCCTGTGTGTCAGAGTTCTTGCTTCTTTCCATAGGTGGCCAAAGATCTAGAATGCTGAAAGTCGCCAGTCTTTGAAATCTCGTAGATGCTGTGAGGTGAAGCCCCACCTCCAGTCTAGGCCTGCTCACTTCCCAGGTGCCTGGTTCACAGGTGTCATTGTCAGACAGTGCAAGCGCCTGAAATAGGCCTGACTGATTCTGCCCTTTGAAGTCACTGGGCATGTTATTGTAAATATGACCATTCAGAGTCCATGTGGGATAAGGCCTGGGGGTTCCTGGGAGAGCAGCCTGAGTGAGTTGGGCATTTGGGAACGTGAAAAGGACTGGGGTCTCTATTACTCTCTCACTAGCCACCTGTGTAGTCTAAGCACAGTTTGAACTTACGGAGAAATGGAGCTGTGAACTTTATCCTGCCATGGAAGGGTCTACCTAGAGAGCATCCTGACCCCTGAGCATCCAGGGTTGGCTGCTTACCCTCAGGCAGCCCCTAAAAGAGCTGCACTGTACACCCAAAGCTACTTCCTTGTAACCCACACATGGCTCCCAGCTCTGCCTGTGGACCACTCAGTTCCCCTCTCTGCTGGGTCCCAGTCATGCCTCCTGGGGAGCTCCACACTCGGCACTGTACCCTTTTGTTGCTGTTGCTGGGTTGGCACGTGGCTTCTTGGGTTTTCCCATGTTTCCTTTTGACCTCTTGTTGTCATCTCATCCGTTTGTGCTGGTTCTAAGACTGAGCCTTGGAGAGCAGGGACAAGGGGGACTTGAGCTCAAAGCTCCCAGGTTGGGTGGGGTGGGGACACTGGTAGGAGCCTGGTAGTTCCTCTAAGGCCTCCTGGGTACCTGAGCACATGGATGGCCAAGTAAACCTAGCCCTGAGTGGGGGACCAGCAGAGCTGTTCAGAAAGCTTGGGAAAACTGAGTCCTGGATTCCAGGAGAACTGAGGAGGTCTGGAAGAAGCTACAGGGGCTCTTCCCTGGGAGAGCTGTTCCCTTCAGTGCCCTGCACTGAGCGAGCTGTCTGGCCCTGGTGCCCTTGGCCCGTAAGGTGTGGTTTTAAGCACCAGTGCTTCAGCCCCCCTCCCAGTTCACCAGAAGAGTGTCTCACGTCAGGCGGCTAGCTCACTTCCTTCTCTGGCAACCACCAAATTTGAGAACGTCCTATTTTCCCATAATCAAAAGAAGCGAAACTGTCTCAGGAAATAAAGTGAAACACCCCTAAAACACCTATGGCAGACAGAGTCTTTTCTTTATGAAGTCATTAGCAGAAACTGGAGGGCAGCCCTTGCCTCTCCTGTGATGTACCAGAAGATGGTGCTCCGAAGAGCACAGCCAGCAGGTCCAAGTGGTGACAGTCCCTGGGCCAGCCCCATACACCAACCTTGCCCTGCTTCCTTCTACCCCCCCCCCCCTGCAGTGGTCACCTCTCTCGCCTGTGCCCAGTTAGTTTCCTCCTGGACTCCCAGGGTATAGCCAAGTTGAAAACCACTAACTTTCAGGGGCACAAGGTCCCTTTCCTTCTTGACTTCTGGGGGGAGGGGGACAGCTAAATACAGACAGGCTAGGCCTGCCCTGGAGTTCTGCTGAATCCCCATAGAGGGCCAAGACACTTGGGAAAGGTGACAAGACACATGGGAAAAGTGACAAGACACGTGGTCAGAGGTGTGGACAGTGTGGGTACCCAGTGCTTATCGTACACCAGGCACACTCCTGAGCACACACACATGCAGCAGGCCACCGAAGCTGGGATGTTGCCCTGTGAGTGCATACTTGTCACCTCATTTTACAGTGGAAAAAACTGAGGCCTAGTAAAGCCAGTTATTTATGACCACACAGGTAGAAGGTGGCAAACCTGTCCTTGAATGCCAGTAATCTGGCTGCTCCTGCAGGCTGGCAGCCACTAAGCATCTTCATGGGCCCCAGGAGAGGTTTTCATGTGTGGGTGGGAAACTTCTGCTGGTTATCAGGAAATGTAGTGAGTGCGTCTGTGTATGTGCCATGTGTGCATGAGTGCCTGTGACTAAAACATGAGAAATTGAACATCACATTCTGCTGTTCAGATTTGTGTGCATGCACACACATGTGTGAGAAATTACTTCCAGGCACCATAACATTTGGCCCACAGAGCAAGTCTCTCCCTCCCTCTCAGCTCTTGTCAAACATGGCATTTCCCATGTTCACTCAGCCATAGGACCTCCTTTCCACTGCAGACCTGCTTGCCTTTCAGGTGCCAGCCCTGCCTCCCCCAGAGGATGCATTTTAGGGGATTTGCCATACCCAGTGGTCTCTGAGATTCCTACCAAGGGAAAGTGCCCCCGCCCTCATTGAAGGAGTGTTTGGATTTGGAGCCAGGGCACTTGGCCACCAGTCTTGCCCTTGGTTGCTGCATTCAGCATCCCTGGGGAGCCATCATGCCTGTTCTGATCCCTTGACCTCCCAGCAGCAATGGAAAGCATCCTGGCGCCTTGTCTCCTCCTTTTCTGAAACTAACTCTCTTACCTCCTTTTGTTCCCCAGCTGGTCAGTGAGAAGGTCGGAGGGGCTGAAGGGACCAAGCTTGACGATGACTTCAAAGAAATGGAGAAGGTAATGGGGAAAGTGGTATGCCCTGTCTAATGCCTGGCACTATTTACCGAGACCCTCATGAGGCCCAGCTCTGACATCTGGTGTGGGTAGGGGAATGAGGCTTATCAGGATGGACTAGGTAGGTATCAGGCATCCCACAGCCCTGGTCAGGCAACGGGGACACAGTGTAATGAAAACAGGGCGGCCAGGCAGCCCTCACAGCAGTGGGTAGTTCTTACGTGGGCTCTGAGGCAGGCAGGGACTAGGGAGCAGGGCAAGGACTATCCAGGGGCCCCTGGTTTGGCCTTGGGCACCCCGGTGGTTTTGAAACCGCACATGCTGCCTCTCTTTACAGAAGGTGGATGTTACCAGCAAGGCTGTGGTGGAAGTGCTGGCCAGAACCATTGAATATCTGCAGCCCAACCCAGGTAGGGGCACCAGCTAGCTGCAAGTTCTTCCGGTTACCACAGCATGAAGAAGGAATGTAAGGGATCACAAAACTGAAATGTCATGGAGTGGGTGGATTTTAGGCATGGCTGAATCCAGGGATCTAAAGGATGTACTTGGGGCCATGCATTTCCTTTTTGCATCATCTGGCAGCTCTTTCTTGTGTCATTCCCAGACTTAAATCATCACTGCAGCTAACAGTGCCAGCAGAAAGGAGCATCTTCCCCCACCCCCAACTGATTCATTGAACAAATTTGAATTGGGTTCTCATCCTAGTTTGCCAGGCCCCAGCTACGTGCCCACCTTTGGAGCATGAAGTGGGGTCTCCTAGGATGAGAGGGAAATGGGGACCCTCCCTCAAGGAAAATCCAAATGCTAGTTCCCATAGTAGGAGGCAATGGATGTAGCAAACCCAGGCATCTCCATTCAAGGCCTGTGCCAGGACAGACCCAAGTGGGCAGAGGTGTGCGCACAGTTCCTCCCCCAACTCAGGCAGATATCCACGTGTGGGATGCCTGTACCTGCCCACCACCACTTCTCTAGGGTGCTACTCCACCAAGCCATAGAGGGGAGGGGCTCAATCAGAGCCATGCTCCAGGATGAGGAGGCCCTGAGGTCTCCTGAGGAGCTGATCACTCCCACCCACTGCCCATGATCCTTTGTGGCCAAGAAGAGCAGAAGAGGGCAAGTCTGCTCAGGCTTTGTCTCATAGCCTGGTTGTCAGCAGGCATGGCAACCAAGGTTCCTTGGGCCAAGGGAGTACTTTAGAAATACATTGGCCTTGGGGGAGAGGGGTCGCACCCAGGCCAGAGAGAGGCAGCTGGCAGATCTGGCCAAACCCAGGCCTGGTGGCTCCTGGAGAGACTACCCACATGCCCACCTGGCCCATTCTGTTCCAGCCTCGCGGGCCAAGCTGACAATGCTCAACACAGTATCCAAGATCCGTGGGCAGGTGAAGAATCCTGGCTACCCGCAGTCGGAGGGCCTGCTTGGCGAATGCATGATTCGTCATGGGAAGGAGCTGGGTGGCGAGTCCAACTTCGGTAAGGGCAGGCATGAAGGACTCAGGCCTCCGGCCTCAGCAGAGTTGCATGGGTAGGCAGCCAGGCAGAGGGAGGAAAGGCCAGAGCTTCCCCACACTGGTGAGCAGGAGGTCACTCCCCTCCCATAGCTCCAGAATCTTCTGTAGTGCTGGCCGGTCCCTGGATGAAAGCAACTGAAGCTTCTGAGAAAGCCCCTCTGTGTCCCCCATGGGGATGAGGGAGAATCCCAACCCTGCCTGAAGTGTTAAGGCTTAGGGAAGCCCCCCACCCCTCATGCCACAGCTTGTTCAGGGCAAATATGGTCCCTTGTAAAAGTGTGGAAGGGCAGATTGTCCCACACCACTGTGGCTCAGATTCAGACTACGGTCTGTTGCTCTGAATTCTGGTCCAGGTCCTTAGCTTTGGGGTCAGTTTAGAAGTTGGGGGTGTCTTGGCCCCATAGGCCAAGGCATCCCATCATGACTTCTTCCCCCACCCCTCCCCTTCCACAGGTGATGCCCTTCTGGATGCAGGGGAGTCCATGAAGTGCCTGGCTGAGGTAAAGGACTCCCTGGACATAGAGGTCAAGCAGAATTTCATCGATCCCCTCCAGAACCTGTGCGACAAAGACCTGAAGGAGATCCAGGTACACCTTGATGGCTTGTCCCTCACCCCCACTCCGAGTATAGCCCTCAGGGATCCCTCACAGCTCCCTCACTCAGACAGTGAGCCTCTTTCCTTCCTGGGCCCCACCTTGGTCCACCTCCGTGCATACTTGCAGTGAGAAGGGCTGCAGGGCATTGGGTTGGCCCTGCAGTGTGACCCTCATCCCTGTCCCCAGCACCACCTGAAGAAGCTGGAGGGCCGCCGCCTAGACTTTGACTATAAGAAGAAGCGGCAGGGCAAGATCCCCGATGAGGAGCTGCGCCAGGCCCTGGAGAAGTTCGAAGAGTCCAAGGAGGTGGCCGAGACCAGCATGCACAACCTCCTGGAGACTGACGTATGTCCATGGGCCTGGGGACCACCCTTGGGAAGCCCTTAAAATGAGGAGGCCAGCAGGGATGCCAGCTTCCACAAGGGCTCAATGCCCGTTTAGAGGGTAAAGGAAATGGAGGGGGAACAAGGACTGGAAGTGGGCAGCACTGGCACCCTGAGTCTTTGGGTCTTTTCAGGCCCTTCACTGTTCTTCAGCTGCAGTTCAAAGGTCCTCTGGGCACCAGTGCCTGGAGCAGTCTGAGAGACTTCTTGCAGGAGCTAGAGTGGAGATGGGGGTTAGAGGGCAGCCCCCTCTTCAGCTCTGGCTGGTTGCTTACAGATTGAGCAGGTGAGCCAGCTCTCTGCCCTGGTGGACGCCCAGCTGGAATACCACCGGCAGGCTGTGCAGATTCTGGACGAGCTGGCTAACAAGCTGAAACGAAGGTGAGCTCCTTCCCACTCTGTGCTGGCCAGGGAAAGCCTTGTGGTTGTGGGGTCCTTGGAAACCTGGAGTCCCTGCTGTGAATTCCTGAGCTGGCCATTGAGATTGCCTGCACACCTCCCCCTAACAGCCCAGCCTGTCCAGAGCCTAGTGGCTGGCTTTTCGTAATCTCTGGGCTGTGAGGGTGGGAGTTGGGGTCCCACAAGGGAACATGATCTCCTCGGGCTTGTCCTGGCCTCTGAAGGAGTGGCTGGGGAACGGAAGACAGCCTGAAGGGACAGGAGGCAGCTCACCCAGGGCTGACCCCACTTCCTCCACTGCCAGTCTCCTTGGTTGGCAGTGGTTTGGGGCCAAGGGGCTTCAGCAGGACCCAGCTGACCAGCAATCTGAAAAAATACTCGATTCTGGGGCTACAGCCCAGGGTGTCCCCCAGATTTCCGTGTGTTGTGTCCACCTCACAACCTCCCCAGCGCCCCACTGCCCATGTGGCAGCAGCACCCTGGGTCATGCAGGTTCTGCAGCTGCTCACACTTCCCCCTTCACTGGCAGGATGCGGGAAGCCTCTTCGCGCCCTAAGCGCGAGTATAAGCCCAAGCCTCGGGAGCCCTTTGACCTTGGAGAGCCTGAACAGTCTAACGGTGGCTTCCCCTGCGCCCCGGCCCCCAAGATCACAGGTAAGGAGTGGGAGGGGTCCACACTGTCTCAGGTCCTCAGAGATAGACCCCAGCCTGCTGCCCATCCAAATGGTAGGGCCAGGTGCCTCCTGCCCACCCCCTGGCCCTCTGCAAAAGGGGTCCCCAGAGATGGGACCCAGGCCCCAGCCCAGCACTCTCAGCCCACCTGTGTGTTTTGTTTACAAGCAGCCTCATCATCCTTCCGATCTTCCGACAAGCCTATCCGGACCCCCAGCAGGAGCATGCGTGAGTCCCCCTGCCTCAGTTTATAACAGTGCCTTCCAGTCTGTTCTGGAAGGTCTTTCTGACTCCCCTTTTCTGGTAGAAGTGGGCAGCTGCTGTGGTTGGTCCTCTCAGTCCCTCAAGCAGGGAAGGAGCTAGGCACCCTGTGGCAGGCCTCTGCCTCTGTGGGCCTCAGCCTCCCCGTGCAAAACAGGCTGCTAAGAGCGTCCAGAGCACCCAGTGACTAGGTTTTCTGAGCAGCAGCCTGAGGGCAATGGGCTCTGATCATCCCGTCATCCTAATGGCACTGTGTGTTCCCAACTCTTCCCAGGAGCATTGTGGGAACCACTTACAGCCCTTTCCATCCTTCATGTCACTTGTTTCTTATTCCCAACAATCCTGGGGAGCAAGAGGAAGGAGCAGCTCTCCTTAGGGGAAACAGGCACAGCGAGGCAGCAGGAGCGGGTGGGGTCTGAACCTGGACACACAGAATTTACACTCATCTTCTGCCCACCCCAGCGCCCTTGGACCAGCCAAGCTGCAAGGCACTATATGACTTTGAGCCTGAGAATGATGGGGAGCTGGGCTTCCACGAGGGTGACATCATCACGCTGACCAACCAGATCGACGAGAACTGGTACGAGGGCATGCTCCATGGCCAGTCGGGCTTCTTCCCCCTGAGCTATGTGGAGGTGCTGGTGCCCCTGCCTCAGTGACAGCATCAGCCTGCCCACCCTCTGTCCAGATCGCCTGTATTCCACTTGGCCCGAAGCGCAGCAAGGGTAGTGCTCCTCCCAGGGCCTCCTGAGGTATTTCTGGGGCACTAGGGACTTGAGGCCGCAGGGCCAGGCGGGGAGCCAGGGGCCCTGTTTACACTAGTCCTCACCCATAGTGGTGGGGGGGGCTCCCCTCCCCACTCCATGTAGCCGTCTGGGGCTCCACCGCCCTGAGGGGGTTAACACTAAGGTGCTCTTAGAAACACTAACTTCATCCTGCCTCCTCCAGGACTGGTAACTCTGGGTGGTCCCCTCCACTCAAAGACACACACTTCTCCTCTGTCCCCTTCACACTGGGGCCCAGCCCACTCTGACCCACCCTTACTGTGAGCAAATTTTCTGAAAGTGTGATGGGGTAGTCCAAGCAGGACCCTTGGCCCAGGCTCATCAACCTGCTTTTAAATTCCCCCAAAACACTCCTTGTCAGGCACCTGCATGCCCACAGATGCCACCTATCTAGGAGGGCTCCCCCAGGGATCCTCGGGCTGGGTCCCTATGGACAGGCCCTCTCCTCAGCTGCAGTGTACTGAACCCCACACATCCATGCCCACCACCCTACCCCGGGCTCCCTCTGCCCCCACCTGCAGGGTGCCCTATCCCCAACCAAGCACATGGAACGTTTCTCTCTGGCACAAGCTGCCACTACCAACTATGCACGCGCACACACTGACACCCCACACACGGGACCATGGGAGCCCCCAGTTTCCACTCTGCTGATGGTCAAGCACAAAGGCTTTGATGAATGAATGTTCCCAGACCCCTGGCTGCTGGGGTCATCCTGGGGCGGGTCACAGGGCCTCCCCCATCCCAAGCTGGCTGCCGTCCCCCTGTTGACAGTGTTCCCAACTGTCTCCTCCAGACCAAGGTAGGCAGCTGCCCAGACCAGCAGGGCCCAGACCAGCAGGGCCCAGCCCTGCATCCGCTTCCCCTCTTTCCTAATCTGAAATTGGCTCAGTCAGGGGACCTCAGGCCCAGTTCACATTCCCTTCCTTCAGTGACCCTGCACAGCCCCGTGACACCAGGCTCTGCTCTTCCCCAAGGCCCCCCTCCCCACTGTCGGTGGGAGAGACACAGGCATCCGGACCAAGACAAGCAGCATAGCCTTGGTCACAGTCTAGGGCAGATGGAAATGTAATCCTGATTTTTTTTTTAAAAAAAGTATTAAATGTCTCTTTCTACAGTCTCTTGCCTGGTTGTGCAGGGCAGGCCTTCTGCTCACTGGGACACCCACAGACCTCCTGAGGGGTCTCTGGTCAGGACATGGCCTACATGGCTGCCCACCCAAAGGCCCCTACCCAGAGCCCACTCCTGGAGTGGGCACCAGCCCCACAGCAAGTCCAGGAAGGGTGGTTGTCATGTATCCAATCACCAGCATGGGAGGTATGTTCCCAAGACTCCCCTCCCCACAGCCCCAGGACAGGACAACAGCTGCGTGAACACTCCACTGCCCAGACAGCAGCCTGCACTCCCAGCAGCAAGTGCTGGGGACCCCACTTCAGGGCGAGACACACGCCTGGCTGTTTGCTTCTCTTTTCTTTATTATATGAGCTGCTGCCATCGCACAGCTCAGTCCCACAGGAATGGAGCAACACAGTTGCAAACAAAGCCCCTAAACCTGTTCCCCCTCACCCAGAGCTTCCAGGAGTGTGGTGTGGGGGTGTGCTCAGAGTCTGACCAGGAGGCCTCTCAGGTCCTCAGAGGCCAGTGCCCTCAGTTCCCTTGCTTGAGGATGCTGTAAACCTGCTCCAGCACATGGCACAGGCCCTGGTCTTTGGGCATTCTGCTGGCCAGGGAGATCTGAAACAAGCAGGACTGGTGCCTCAGGACTATGCCCAGCAGTCCTGGCCTGGCCTGGCATCCCACTCCTGCCCCACCCCCTCCCAAGGCCCAAGTGCTACCATCTGGCAGAGGGGTTACCTACCCAAGGTACACTGTGGTGTCCCTAAAGCAATGCTTTCTTTTTAACAGAAGGGGTGTTGAGTAACTTAAGGCCCAGTTGACTAAAGTTTGAGGTGAAGGGGTCATTTGCATTTTCCAAATCCTGCTGTCACCCCCGCCTGGATCCCACGCCTGCTGAGAGCCACCCAGCTCTGGGGCCTCAAAGACAGCAGATGGCCACTCCCACCAGAAGCCCAGTGCCTGGGTGGGAGGTGACCAGGAACAAGTTGTAGCCCTAGTCAGTTTTCTTTAAAAGGTTGAACAAAAGCAAATGTGTGAAACTGTGTTTCTGTGCAAAGCAAGTTGAATGTCTTCTGAGAATGCCTTAAGCAGGAAATAAGTCAGACACACAGAGGAGGCCACCAGAAGCCTCATTTAAATGTCCCACTACCTGTGGGGCCAGTGTACACGTTCACAACACCTGCTGCTCTCAAGGCTCTAAATAGGTCAGAACCTCCACACGCTCTGTGGGTGCCCACAGAATGAACTGGGGTCCAGAGCAGCTTCTCCAGCTGGGCTGTCCCAAGGTCCTGGGGTCTAAGGGACTTTAACATTTCATCTACATTTTGATGGTGATTTTTTTCCTCCTCCCATCCCCACTTAGCAGTGTTAATTTCCAGCTGAAATACTTTTGTACAGAACAAGTTAGGAAATCACTGTTTCTCAGGCTGCTCATGGATATATTCTTGGGGGTTCCCCAAGAACTGTCTTCCTACTGGAGGGTTTCACATGGGCTTTGGGTAGAAGTCTTACCTTCAGCTTGTCAAGGTAGGTGTGCTCCTGGTTCCAGGGCTCCTGGAACCTCACCAGGTCAGGGGCACCCTTGTAGAACTCCACCAGCAGCATCTACAGGACAGGGTGTGGTTGGGACCCCTCACTCTCGTCTCCCCACACCAGGCACTGGGATCCAGCAGTGAACAGGACAGGCACTGCCGATACCTATCATGAGGGCTGTGAGGCTAATGCAACAAGCAGACAGTACCGCTCACCACGAGCGAGACCACTCAGGAGTGCCACCCAGTAGATGGAAGGGAGCTAGCAGGTTTCTGGAGGGGGAGAGGGAACTCCCCCAGAGGCCCAGGGAGGCAGGCTGAACGTGATTCTTTATTTCACACAGGCCTGACATAGCTCTCTGCTAGAGCCTCATTCTAATAATATCCGTGAAATCATAGGTATAGCGAACTAGCTCCGTTTTTTAAATACCTGTTAAGCCACGGGCATTATAAACCACTTAGGTAACACCTGAAGTGCTCCATGTGTCTCCACTTGGAAAAACTGTGGCAGGTGCAGAGGTCCTAGATGGAGCATCTCTAGTGTGTTCCAGAACAAGTAGGAGACCTGGTGGGTGAGCAGGTGGTCGAGGGGGTTGCTGCTGCAAGGACCTGGGACTTGATTCTAAGAACCACAGGTGATTATCTTCAGAGAGGAGCCTGACCAGGGCCCTCATGTGACACATTTAGCCATGGCTTCCTTGTCCTGTGTGTCCAGCTAGGCACTTTCAGCCCCTGCCCGCCCCTAGGGGTGGGGTACACCCACCCTACCTGAGAGTGAGCTCACCATCTCGTGAAGAATGTCGTTAGTCAGGAAGCTGTCTGGGACATAAGCCATCTCCACGTCCATGGGGATACCATAGTCACTGGGCCTTTGCTGGCAGAGACACCAGCCAGTCACCACCAGCTACCCCAAAGCCTCTCACCCCATGACCCACACCCAGCACGTCGACCCTTGGCCTTCCCAAGGAGCACTGCCTACCTCAGGGGGTGGCATCACCCAGAAGGGGGAGATCTTGGACTCAGGGCCTGGGTTGCCAGAGTAGTAAGGAGCTGCAGGAGGAGTGAGGGGGGCTGGGTCGGCCAGCTGGCAGGGAGGGCCCTCAAGGTCCAGAAGGGAGATGCATGCGTGCCCACATTCAAACACCTTCCCCCAGCAGGGACTTACAGCAGAGCAGGGCAAGACAGGGCTGGAAACCATTGCTGGAGCCCTGCAGCCGCAGCTGGTAGTCCATCTGCGTGTCGATGTCCTGCAGCGACGGCAGCGCAGGGCTGTGTGGGTGGCTGTGGTACCAGCCCACCAGGGACAGGCCCCGCAGGAGCAGGCTCTGGTAAATCTGGGGGCAGAGGCAGGGAGCTGGGGGCCCTACCAGCCTTGTGTTCCCACCAATCCCTGCAGCCAGTACTGCTGGCACCATCAGCCCCATGTGTAGGCAGCACATAATGAGAACGTGCTATGTACCAGGCCTATGGACATAACAGGGGCCAAGAGAGACCCTACCCCTCCCTAACAGAGTCCAGTGAGCAGATGGTCAACAAATACATAAAAAAGATGCACCTGTCATGAAGCAAAGGTAAAAGTTCTGTTCCCTGCTGTCCCCAACTCATGAAACAACGCCGGGCACATAGTATATGTTCAATAAAATAGTTAAATAAAGAGGTGGATATGCATGCATGTGAGCAGGCACGGGCATTCCCAGATGCCTTCAAGTGGAAGCAAGCAGGGGCAGAAAGAGAACCATTCTCACTAAATCAACATCTATTCACCTGTCCAAGGAACACAGATGGGGCCACAAGCAGGTGGGTATAGAGCACAGCATAGTGCCAAGTGCATACTAAGAAACATGAGAAAGCATTACTAAGAATGGCATGGCCGGTGTGGCTCAGTGATTGAGTGTCCACCCATACACCAAAAGATCGCCAGTTCGATTCCCAGTCAGGGCACATGCCCAAGTTGTGGGCCCGATTCCCAGTGGGGTGCATGTCGGAGGTGGCCAATCGATGTTCTCTCTCATCAATGTTTCTCTCTCTCCCCCTCTCCCTTCCTCTCTCTTTAAAATCAATAAAGGGGAAAAAAATGGCAGTTAAAATGTATCCAACCCTTACTAGGTGCCAAGTGGGGACGGGGTCACACACACTCATTTGCACATTTTTTGAGCATTGACTCTGCTAGCTGCCTGGACACAGTAGCCAGGAGAGCTGTGTCCACTCAGCCCACCCCAGAATGCTCCACCCAGTGTGTTCCCTCACCTCCTCTTCTATGGTGGCAGAAGTATCCACGTCCCCCAGCCGGCTGCGACAGGGGAAGGCTCGCAACACTGTGAGCACTGCACAGAGCAGGGAGAAGGCATGGACATCGGCCCAGCCCCCAACATCCCCCTGCCCACTTGGCCCCAAATACCCACTCTGGCTGTTGATGTCCCAGCGGCCCCCCAGGTACCCCACGACCTCGCTGCGAGTTAGGTGGCTGTGGAAGTCCTGGGGAAGAGGTAACATCAGAAGTCATGCTCAGGCTGCACCCAGACCCAACTCCATCCTGGGAGTCCAGGGCCCTTGTAATGGGCAAGGGCCAGCCCTCCCACCTCTTCCTTCATTCAAACATTGAGCATCTGTGAGCAAAGTCCCCACCCACATGGAGCTGACATTCCAGGATCCTCCCTCCTTCCAAAGCACCCCAGCCCTCTGCCCAGACCTGGGAGCCCCTGGCCCACAAGGGACAAGGTAGGAGCTGGGCACACACCAGCAGGAACAGCACGTTGCTGGAGATGGCCACATTGAATGGCTGGAACTTGTTGATGGCTGCAAAGGATGTTACTTCCACCAGGGTATGGGGATTCCTGTAGGAGCCAGAGGGTCCCACAGCTTCAGAAACCCCTAGACTGGCTCCTGAGCCCATCCTACCCCAAGCCAGCTCTGAGGATATGAGGCCTTGTCCCCCCAACCCCCCTCCCGGCCAATCCTGACAAGAGCTCGTGTAAACAGGATGGTGTGGTGGACGTGGCAAATCTGACCTGGCAGAGTCACGACTGCCCAACATGCAGTATCGCACTGGTACCCGGATCTTGTTTTCCACTCGCTTCCCCAGGGGTGTAGCCTCTGCCCGGTGGGGTTAAGGAAAAAAGGGCAACGTCAGTCCCTCCCCAGCCTTGAACTGGAAAACAAGACAAGGCAACCCGAGAAAGAAACCCCAGAAACAGCCTTAAAAATAAGGCAGTGGAGCCCTGGCTGGTTTGCTCAGCGGTTAGAGCGTCGGCCCTGCGAACTAGAGTCCCAGGTTCGGTTCCTGCTAAGGGCACTTACCTTGGTTGCAGTTTGTCCCTGGCCCCTGTTGGGGTCATGTGGGTGACAACCTGTCGATTTGTCTCTCTCACGTGGATGTTTCTCTCTCTCTTCCCCCCTCTCTCCCTCCTGTTCTATCTGAAGATAAATGCAAAAATGTCCTCGAGTGAGGATTAAAATAAATAAGGCAGTGCTGCCCTGGCTGGTTTGGCTCAGTGGACCATGCACCGAAGGGTCAGGGATTTGATTCCCAGTCAAGGGCGAGTACCTGGGATGCAAGTTTGAAGCCAATCGATGTCTCTCTCATCAGTGTGCCTGCCTGCCTGCCTGCCTTTATCTATCTCTCCCCACCCCTTCCACGCTCTCTGAAAATCAATGGAAAAAATATCCAGTGAGGATTAACAAAAAAAATAAAATAAGGCAGTGGGACTGGAAAATCAGGTGGCAGGTTGACAAGTTGGACAGAGATTTAAAATCAGGTGAAGGGCTCAGGAAATCAGGTAAGGACTTCAGAAAACCAGGGGGGTGGAGGGGGGCAGGATTAGGCAGCAAGTTTAGAAATCAGACAACAAGGCAAAGAAATCCTACTGGGGAACAAAGAAATCAGGCAGCACATTAAGAAAGTGGGCAGTGGGATCAAGAAATCCAGCATTAGAGCTTAAGAAGTCAGTGAGAGTGAAATTTGTGGGCTGGGAAGTCAGCCAGGTATCTTGGGGACGCTGAGGAAAAGGCCAGACTTGTGCTCAGCCTCCTCCTGCACCTGAGTTCTGCATGCCACCTGCCCTGCCTCTTCCCCTCCCTCAGGCCTCTCACCAGGGTGGGCAGGCTCTGATGGGCCCTTCGCAGGTGGTCTTCGACTTTTATCCTCCGCTGAGACGCCTGTCAGAACCTCTTCCTCCTCTTCCTCCATCAGCAGCTCCTCCTCCTCCCCTTCACTGGCTGGGCTCTGGTGGGGTGGGGGTGAGGACAGCGACAGCACCCTCAGCTGAGCGCACCCCACCCTCCCCAAGTTCCACCCAGACCGCGGGCCCGCCTGTCTTGCGCCCCTGCCGTTGCCCCAGGTGTCCACTAGAGGGAGGGGGTGAGCGGAGGCGGCCTAAGGCTGTGGTGCAGCACAGGCCTGGGCTCCTTGTGGCTGACTCAGGTTTGAATCCTGAACAAGCTGTATGACTTTAGGCAAGCGCCCTAACCTCTATGAGCTCTATGAGCTCTATGGTCATCTGTAAAACAGCACAATGACCTCTAGCCCAATAGCATTGGCAGCTGGGTGAAATAGGTTAAAGTGTGTGAAGAATTTAGCATATGCCCTGTTTCATCCATTGAGCAAGTGTGCACTTTGCAAGGATTATGTTTACATTATCTCACTAACCTCTCCTCTTGCTTTCTCCTATACTTCCCTTGCCAAGGTGACCTCTCTGTGTCACATCTGTCTCTGTCCTTCTCCCTCGCCCAGCAGCATCTGACCCAACCAGTATCCCTTCCTCCTGGGAACTCCTCAGGGACCCTGAACTCACCCAGATTCTGTGGCCCCTACAGGGTCCCCTCAGCCTCCCCATCTCCCCCTCATTGCCCAGGACTGGATCCTGGGGCTTCTTTCCTCAGGACTGCCTGGCCCACTCTCAGGGCTCTAACTCTGCCTATACCCTGATGACACCACAGTCCTGTCTCCATCCTGGGGTTCCCCTGAGCTCCAGACTCGGAGTCCAGCTGCCCCTCAACGTCCCCACACAGGGGGTTCACATTCAATAAAGCCATGATGTACCCGACTGTCCCCCCACAAATCTCCGCCCTTCTCAGATCCCCACATCTCTGATGAGAGCAACCCCATTCACCCACTTGCTCAGAACAAAACTCAACACCAATATCTAATCCATCTGCAAATCCCATCAAATCCACTTTTAAAATTAGCCAGAACATGACCACTTCTTCTCCACCTCAATGGCCAGTCTGGTCCACCCCATCATCGCCCACCTGGACCAGTATCCATGTCAGGTCCTACACCCCCCTTACTCAGACAGTCTTCAAAAACAGGTCTCGCCCTGGCTGGTTTGGCTCAGCAGTTAGAGTGTCGGCCTGCGGTCCAGAGAGACCCGGGTTCGGTTCCCGCTAAGGCCATGTACCTCGGTTGCAGTTTGTCCCCGGCCCAGGTTGGGTCGTGTGGATGGCAACCACTCAATGTGTCCCTTTCACGTCGATGTTTCTCTCTCTCTCTGTTCCTCTCTCTCCCTCCCACTCTATCTGAACAAAAAATGAAAAAAAAAAAAACAAAACTGAGGTCTCCCAGAAAAGAAGGAATTCTGCCTCAAGACTGCAGCACCAAGTCCTGAGTTTCCAGCCTGTCAGTGGCCCTACAAATTTAAGACTTGCCAGCAAGATATATATACATATATTTAATCTACCTAAATATGTCTAACACACATGGTACTGTTATCATTTCCATTTTATATATCATAAAGACTAAGGCTTAATACAAGAGGCTAAAAGGACGAACCTCATCGGCGGCAGCTGCAGGCACATGGAGCTGGTGTCGCCGGAGCCAGGCGGCCTTGTACTTGTCCAGTTTCTGGCCCTTGTACTTGACGGAGGCCCAGCCACAGCCTGACTTCTTGGCCGGGTTCACCAGCTTCTTGCAGTGGGTGGCCCAGGCACTGGGTGAATTGAACACCTGCCCTGTTTCCTGCCACACGATCCTCCCATCCGGCTGCAGGTCCCCCATGAACTTCTTCCCCTGCAGTAACAGTGGGCTGGCTGGGCCCAGGACCTGGTACCCACCAAGTCCTCTTCCAGGAAGTCCTCCCCGATCCCATGCTGGTCCCAGGGCTTAGCACCCACTTCCCACTTCAGTACCCCTTCCAAGAAGCTTTCTATCTTATGTGCTTTCCAGTACTCCTATGTCCACTGTTACAGTCCTGATCAGCTTGGATCAAAACAACCCAATTATGTGTCCCCCCTTCCCCTCACTGGACTGCGAGCCCTCAAAAGGCTGGGACAAGGTCTTTCTTGATCATTGCTGTGTCCCTAATACACAACATACAGCCTGGTATACAGCAGGTGCTCAATTCACAAATTACACCATTCACAAACCGAACAACAATAGTAATAACAGCAAACACAAAGCACTTACTTTGTAGCAGGCACCTAGCTGAGCGCTTTATTCATTTAATCCTCATACAATCCCATAGGAGAAAAAAAAAATCCCACTTACAAATGAGGAAACTAGGATACTAGGATACTGAGAGGTTGAGCAAGGTCACACAGCCAAGAAAGCAGTGGTATCCTCTCTGAGCCCCAGTTTCTCCTTTGTAGAATGGGGTGTTTGGTGAACGATGTCCCCCCACCCAGGAGGGTTCATGCTGGGACTGGATGTTCGGTGCCTCAGTTTCCCCTCCCCATTCCCAGGCTCTGCCTGCTGCAAGGGAGCTCTGGGCCTCGGTTTACCTTCTTGCCCCAGGTGGGATGGGATGGGGGGTGGGTAGTGCTCACCAAGTAGTAGATAGACAGCACCCCAGTGCCAGGCTCTAGTTGCGCGTCTTTTAGCAGCACCCGCAATGTGACCGCGCGCCTGGTGAGCGCGCCCCCCGGCCCGCCACCGCCTCCTGCTCCCGCTCCTCCTCCACTGCCGCCGCCGCCGCCGCCGCCGCCGCCGCCGCCGCCGCCGCCGCCGCCGCGCGTTCCGCTTGCTCCAGCCGGCTTCTCCGGGTCTTCGGCCTCCGCTTCATCCTCGTCCTCATCCAGTGCCTCCTCGCCCGCGCCGCCCGCCGGGGACAGTGGTTCCGGAGCTGCAAGCAGCGACAGGCTGCAGCGGGGCTATGCACCCCTAGTCTGTCCACCCACCCCGCCCGGCGCCTCGCCAACTCCCCCGTCGTACCTGCCATGGCTGCAGCTCCAACCCCGCGCCCCGCTTCTTTCTTCCCGGCACGTGACGCAGCTCCGCCCCAATTCGGGGGGCGACCCAGCCATTGGCCGCCGTCGGTGGGCGGGTGGGGGGCCCAGCTCGCTGGTGCGAGCGGGTAAACTGAGGCCCGGGCCTGGGCATTTGGAACTGGGAGTCGGGAGCTCTACCTTCCGGGACAGTTGGGAAGCTGAGGCCACTCTCCATGGGAAAGGGTGGTAATCGAGAGCTCATAGGTACAAATGAGGAAACTGAGGCGCCGGACTTCTGTTTTCAGGGGACTAGTGACTCCACCCGAGGCCACCTCCTATAGGATTAAGGTCTGGGACGGGGCGGGGGGGGGGGGGGCGCGGGGAGTTCAGCCCACTAGGAAGAGGGGGGAAAGCAGAGGTCCGCAGCTACTAATATGTATTTTTATTGATATTTAGAGAGAGGGGAAGGGAAAGACATAGACACATCCATGGGCTGCCTCCTGCATGCCCCCCACTGGGGATCAAGCCCGCAACCTGGGCATGTGCCCTGACCGGGAATCAAACCAGTGACCCCTTGATTCATGGGTCAACTACTCAGCCACCGAACCACACCGGCTAGCGGCAGCTATTTCTCTTGAGGGACATACAGGCCTTGGTCAGTGGGCCCAGGAGAGAAACAAGCGTTGGGAGAACGAGCAACTAAGCTCTGGGGCTGCAGGCCAGGATGCGAAGCAGCCCTGCCCGGCGAGTCTAATTCGCCCAAGCCCGGCTGCAATCTTTAAAGCGTTAATATCCACCTTTCCGGTGGGCCCTCTGCTAATTGATTCCTCTATAGGACCAGAGTGGGGTACGCCAATCAATCGTCGGAGATTTATTTCATCTTTAACCAATAAACAGTAGCCGTTTGATTTTCTGTCCTATCAGTTGTTAAACAGCTGCTTCCGCCGAACTCCGATTGAGCCAATAGACAGCCGTCGCTCTCGGCCAATCATCAGGACCCCACAGCCTCAGTTACCCAACCAGTCGTTGGGCTTGGTGCTAAACCAGTCAATCAGCTCCCGGATCAAAACCTGCGTCTTGGGTCTGGGGCGGCCCCAACCTCCTAGCAAACCGACCGGGGGGCGGAGCCGGGGTGGATTTGCGCTTGGTGGCTGCAACCCTGTCCTTTGTTCCAGGCCCTTGTTCTGGGACCTTTGCTCCATAACTCAGCGCCACCTCCCAGCGCCGGATCTCCCCAATCCCTCGTAGGGTTAAAAAGCCCGGGTCGGGGCTCCCCAAAGCTGTGGGGAGCCATTGGCTCGGCTCAGCCGCAAATGGGTTTACCCGGACCCCAGTCTGGAAGAGGACACAGGGCTTTGGCGGCGTGGGCGGGGGCGTCCAGCCAGGGTGGTGTGGAATCAGACCGGACCTGACTCCAAATCCTGCTGTACCACTGCACACCTCTGGGACTTTGGCCAAGTGGCTCCACCTCTCTTGTCTCCCTCTGGGGATAATAATTCCACTTCAGGGTTAGGAATCAGGGCTTACATGTTGTAAGAGCTGGATAAATATGAAGTTTAAAAAAATTTTTTTTTTCTTTATTGCTGTTAGAGAGAGGAAGGGAGAGGGAGAGATAGCAACATCTGTGAGAGAGAACATAGATTGGCCACCTCCTGCATGCCCCTCACTGGGGATCAGGCCCACAACCTAGGCATATGCCCTGACTGGGAATCGAAACCGGAACCACTTGGTGCATGGGTCGATGCTCAACCACTGAGCCACACTGGTTGTGTATTATTATTATATTACCTTTTTGTCCAGCCCAGGCCTCCTTTTGGAGTTCCCCATATCTCCCACCATGGCTCCTGCCACCAATTGGTCATTACCTTGCTCCCCAAAGTCTAGCTTCAGTTTATTCCCCCATGTCCTTGCCCACTTATCCTTCAATTCTCTTCCAAAACCTAGGGCCATACCTCTCTCATCTGGACCCTTGCTATCTCTTTCAGGCTTAGGCCTCCATACTAACTGCACACACTGTCCATCTTCCACCCCTGCCTCAAGGGGATCTTTCTAAAATGCAACTATGATCACCTCCTTTCCGAGCTCATCCTTCAATGGCTCTCCATTGCCTTTTTAAAAAATCCTCACCTGATGATATTTTTTTCTTTCTCTCTTTTTTTTTTATCCTCACCCGAGAACACTTTTCCATTTTTGTTTAGAGTGGGAGGGAGAGAGAGGAAGAGAGAGAGAGAAAAACATCGATGTGAAAGGGACACATCTAGTGGTTGCCTCCCGCATGACCTGACCAGGGCTGGAGACCGAACCAAAACTAAGGTACAAGCCCTTGACCAGAATCAAACCCACGACTCTTTGGTTAGCAGAGCAAAGCTCTAACCACTGAGCAAAACCGGCCAGGGCCCCATTGCCTTTGATAAGTAAACTTAAAATTAACCACTGTGACCTTCTTAACCCTTTATGGCATATTCTCAACTTTATTAGACAATTCAAGATGAACCCAGTTAGGGCACATACAAGAAGCAACCAATGATCAGGAGGAGGGTGCCAATGGGGGGAAAAAGGAGAAGCATCTGTAACAATAACAACAACAAAGACAAAAAAAGAAGCAACTAATGAATGCATAAACAAGTGGAACAACAAATCGATGTTTCTCTCTCTCTGTAAAATTCAATTAAAAAAATTTTTTTACTCTCCATAGTCAGATGAATTCTACCAAAGTTTCAAAGAAGAATTAACACCACTGTTTTTTTTTTATCCTCACCCGAGGATATTTTTCCATTTTTTGTTTAGGTAGAGTGGCAGGGGGAGAGAGAGAGAGAGAGAGAGAGAGAGAGAGACATCAATGTGAAAGGGACACATCCCGCACGACTAACCAGGGCCGGGGACAATCTGCAACCAAGGTACGCACCCTTAGCGGGAACCGAACCCGAGTCTCTCTGGACTGCAGGCCAACGCTCTAACCGCTGAGCCAAATCGGCCAGGGTGAATTAACACCACTTTTACATAACCTCTTCCAGAACATTGAAGAGGAGGGAACACTTCCAATTCATTCGATGAAACTAGCATTAATTACCATGATACTAAAACCAGATAAGGATGGTCCAAAGAAAAAAAATTAAAGACAATATCCTTCATGAATAGGAACAGGAAAATCCTTAACAAAGTATTAGGAAACAAAATTCAGCAATATATGAAAAAAATTATGCACCATGGTCAAGTGATGCTTATGCCAGGGATGCAAGGTAGGTTCAGTATTCAAAAGTAAGTGTTAACCGCCATACTTCACAGGCTGTGGTGGACAGAATAATGGTTCCCTAAAGATGTTCCTATCCTAATCCCTAGAACCTGTGAATATGTGAGGTTACATGGTGAAGAGAATTTAAGATTGCAGATGGAATTAAAGTTGCTGATCAGCTGACTTTAAAATACAGAGATTATCCCAATGTAATCACAAGGGTCCTTAAAAATGGAAGAGAAAGTCAGGGAGAGGTACAATGGAAGAAGTTGGGAATGACATGATGTGAGGATTTTACCTGTGTTACTGGCCTTGTAGATGAGAAAGGGGATCTAGAAGACGGAAAGACAAGAAAACATTTATCCTTTGCGCCTCCAGCAAGAGATGTAGCCATGCCAATACCTTGATTTTAGCTTTGGGAGGTCCTTGTAGAATTTCTAATCTATAGAGCTGTAAGATAATACATTTTTGTTGTTTTAAGCCCCTAACTGTGCTGTAAACTTGTTACAGCGGCCATAGAAAACAAATACATTGGCCTGGTCTGTGTGGCTCAGTGGTTGAGTGTCGACCCATGCACCAAGAGGTTGCTGGTTCAATTCCCGGTCAGGGCACATGCCCAGGTTGTGGGCCCGATCCCCAGTGTGGTGCATGCAGGAGGCGGCCAATCAATGTTCTCTCTCATCAATGTTTCTATCTCTCTCTCTCCCTTCCTCTCTCTCTAAAATCAATAAACAAAAAATTATTTAAAAATAGCCCTGGCTGGTTTGGCTGCAGTTAGAGTGTTGGCCCACGGACCAGAGAGTCCTGGATTCAGATCCTGCTAAGGGCATGTACCTCGGTTGCTGTTCATCCTCCGTCCAGTTTGGGGTCATGTAGATGGCAACCAGTCGATGTGTCTCTCTCACATCAGTGTTTCTCTCTCCCTCTGCTCTATCTGAAAATAAATGCAAAAATGTCTTTGGGTGAGGATAAAAAGATAAAGAAAGAAAGAAAACAAATACATTGGCTGAAGAAGAAAAGAACACAATCATATCAACAGATACAGAAAAAGCATTTGACAAAATTCAACACCCACTTATAATAAAAAAAAATTACAATAAAAAATAAATAATAAAACTAGAAAGAGAGGAAGAGAGGAAGGGCAGAGAGATACCACCTCAACTTAGTGGAGAACATCTAGAAACGTCAGTTAACATTGTACCTAATGGTTAAAGGTGAAATGTTTCCCCTTAAGATTGGAAACATGGCAAAGATGTCCACTCTCACCATTCTTATTCAACATAGTACTGAAAGTTCTAGCCAGCATAATAAAGTACAAAAAGGAAATAAAAGCAGTACAGGTTGCCCAGCTGTGGCTCAGTGGCTGATCATCAACCCATGCACCAAGAGGTCACCGGTTCAATTCCCGGTCAGGGCACATGCCCAGGTTGTGGGCCCAATCCTAGTGGGGGCATGCAGGAGGCAGCCAATAGATGTTCTCTCTGATTGATGTTTCTCTCTCTCTCTCTTGCCCTTCCTCTCTTTCTAAAATCAATAAAGAAAAAAGGGAAAAGAAAAAAAAAGCAGTACAGCCTGGCCAGTTTGGCTCAGCGGTTAGAGCGTCGGCCTGCGGTCCGGAGAGACCCGGGTTCGGTTTCCGCTAAGGGCACGTACCTCGGCTGCAGTTTGTCCCCGGCCCTGGTCGGTTGTGCGGGTGGCAGCCACTCGATGTGTTCCTTTCACATCGATGTTTCTCTCTCCCTCTCTGTTCCTCTCTCTCCCTCCCACTCTACCTGAACAAAAAATGGAAAAATGTCCTCGGGTGAGGATAAAAAAAA